AAATATAGTAGATTAGGTCAATCTAACAATTATGATACAACATTGGTTAAAAGGCACGGATCGAACGGCTTTAAGGCAATATTTCGTAAACTTTGTCACACTCAGAATACGAGACCTCTTTTCTACTGTGAGGTGTCCTCAAAACCCTTTCAACTCATTATTTGATGGTTCTTCTGCCAATCATAGCCCTAAAATATGTTGTTTTGAAAAGTTAGCTAATACATGCACTTGGTTATTGGGAAATGATGTAAATTCTGTCACATTATATGGAATTTGAAATTCTGGGTGAATTTCCGAAATCATTTATATCTGATTTTGGTTTGGAAGGCGGGAAAACTCTATATAAGGACGATACACGGATACAGTTGATTCAAGTATAGGGCAGTTGATGTAAACATCGTCACACAATTATACGACATCGTAAATAGGTTACATTTTGCGGGGAAAATCTATATAAGGACGATACACGGATACAGTTTATTCAAGTATAGGGCAGTTGTTGTAAACATCGTCACAAAATGATACGACATCGTAAATAGGTTACATTTTGCGGGAAAACTCTATATAAGGACGATACACGCGGATACAGTTGATTCAAGTATAGGGCAGTTGATGTAAACATCGTCACAAAATGGTACGACATCGTAAATAAGTTAAATTTTGCGGGAAAACTCTATATAAGGACGATACACGGATACAGTTGATTCAAGTATAGGGCAGTTGATGTAAACATCGTCACAAAATGATAAGACATCATAAATAGGTTAAATTTGGAAACAATGATTATAGAATGAAATAGTCTGTGATTAACATATTACATACATTATAAAATGGGCAGGGGTTTTTATATTTCCTGTACCTCTGTATTAATCATTTCGGACTGTAATTAGGACTGTTCACGTGAAAGAAATTGTATCTAAATTTTACAATGACGTACTCGTATGTGACGAAATTTACATTTCTTGACCCTATTTTGAAGAACCATACCTCGGTTAGAATTCAATGTTCTTCCAGGAATTATTGGTTGGTTATTGTTCAGCAAATTAGAACTCAAGTTTAACAATGCTGAGTTTAATTTTACTAAGTTATTGAAATGTGACGAAATTCACTTTTCCTGCCCCAACAGTATAGTTTCAATGTGATGAAAAATTGGCATGGGTTTCTACATTTCTTGTATAAATCCATTCCGACTATAATAAGGACTATTGGTAGGAAATAAAATCTATCTAAATTTTAAAATTACGTATGTGACGAAATTTACATTTCTTGCCCCTATTTTAAAGAACCATACCTCAGTTAAAATTCAATTTTCTTCCAGGAATTATTGGTTGGTTATTTTTCAGCAAATCAGAACCCAAGTTTAACAATGCTGAGTTTGATATCACTAATTTACCGAAATGTGACGAAATTTACTTTTCCTGCCCCAATGTGATGAAAAATGGGCATGGGTTTCTATATTTCCTGTATAAATCCATTCTAGCTATAACTCTATAATAAGGGCAGTTGATATGAAAGAAAATCTATCTAACTAATGCTATGGCTGATGTGACGAAATTTACATTTCTTGCCCCTATTTTGAAGAATCATACCTCAATTAGTATATAATGTTACTTTATCACCATCACTATGTCGATAAATTAGTTATTTTGCCAACACGGAGCAAATAAAGTTATAATATTTTTTTTTGTGACGAAATTTACAAATTTTTACCCTGTTCAGGTGTTGAAATTTTGCCAATGTTAACATATCACTGCCATATAATAATTTATATGACCGGCGTATGGTTGAAATATTGTTAATTGATCCATAGTACGTAATATAGGGTGTTTAAGTTGGTATACTAATATTTACTCAATTTCACACATGTTGAGAAATCATACAAATTTATGTGACTAAATTTACCTATTTCTGCCTTCTGTATTTGTATTTGCCTATAACAATGAAATATGTGAACAATTCCAAACACATTCAGCTCACAAAATAATGCTAGACTATTCGGCATTTCTTGTCAGGATGTCATAAACATCCCTCATATAAATTTCTTAAATGTGTGACGGAGTTTACATGGTGCTACCATTTAACGAAAAAAGTCGCTAAATATGTAGATAATAGTCATATGCAACTATCCTATAAATTTGAAATTCGAAAATTTGGTCAAACACGGCAACAAGGGGTCCATATAAACTCTGTCACGTTTTAATAGTGTGACAAAGTTTACAACTCACTGCCGGCCGCATTTAAGCGATATCTTATCGTCTGATAAAGATATCGTTATGCGACAAAGTTTATCTAGAGGATGAAACGATTATCCTAACCATTGAGGGTTTATATAGTTTTATAGTGTGACACATTTTACATCATCGTGCCATTTAGTAGGGTCACTAATATTTACCAATATCCTCAAACTTCAATGAACGTGTCCATATAAACAAGCAGGAAGGATCATCTGTGATAGTCCTTATCAGTTAAAATATAGAGAGAATGGAATGTACGATGGATCCATGTGAATAGAATTGGTAAAACGTGAATAAATCGGTGGTTTTTGATTTTGTTACCCAGGATTTTTTTTGTGGTTTCTATTAACCAATGTTAACAGTTCTGGATGAGAAATTCAAGCTAGCTCACTCAGGGGCTAAATTGGTCAAATAAGCTCAGTGAAGCTCGCAATCACACAAAACTTGCCACAAATTTTTAGCTACTTGTATTGTTATTAACATTCTGTGAAATTTAGAAGCAAAAATATTTATCAGAACATAAGTTATGCCACTTTTTGTTTTACAAATAAACCGTGAGAAATTTGCCCTGCCTCATAAGCTCATACTGTGTTGTGTTAATGCAATGTAAGGATTGACTTATTCCAAACACAAGGAAAGATGTTGTCCTAAACTATAAATTTAAATTTATGCCCACTAATGTATTTCGTGCGACCATTGCACCAACGGTCGTCAAACTACCTCAGGTAGTTGATTTAAGTCAATACTTGAATCAGCACCTCACAGTAGTAAAATACTCAGTTTGAATTAGGTCCTCATTTTGTGAGGTGCTCTCTCTTAGTCTAAGCATCTGCCTGAGCCCTGATTTACAGCATCTTTCAGGGAATCAGTGCAATTAGTTTAGTAATCGTACCTAATAAGATTTCGGTGACTCTCAAAACAGTGCAATTAGTTTTGTAATCGCACCCCCTGGAAAAAAAATCTACCAAAAACCGGTGCAATTATGGAATTAATAAATGGCCGCCAAATAGGTCAAAAGTGGAGTTATATCAGTAAGGTGCCAGGTGGTCTGTGTACAAAATTGCTGGAAAAGATCGCTGGTGGAGATCTCCTGTCTGTTTAAAATAACCACCATAACAATAATTGGTGCGAGGAATAAAAAATGATCGTCTTTCAGCTAGTAATAAATGGTCTTCCCACGGTAAAAAATTATCCCCTTAGTTACTGAATAACAAAGGGTCACCTCAGAGCAACAAACGGCCGCTAATCGGGTGATTTTATCAACAGCAGCAATAGTAACGGTCCTATCAGGAAACAAATGATCTAAATAAATAGTAAATTATGGTTTTAGAATTTAAGTATTCTAAATTTGTAAAAAGTAGATCGAGGCGTGGCATATTTCGTTATAGCTCTATAGGAAATGAACCGGACCAAAGAAGAACCGCATGCCGGACTGCAGACAGGATTTCTGGTTAGCTAGGGTGGTCAATTACCACTGGTCATACGTCTTCATGATGAACAATATTTGCTTAATCTAGTTATTCTTTATTTTGTCGAATTTGTGGTACTGGTAGGAAGCCATTCTTTCTCTCCCAACATGAATGAGAGCATGACACGCGTGTTGCGAATATTAATAACGAATATTAATAACGGCACGCTCCTTATCACGCATACTGCAAATTAAGTCCTTTCAAGGTGCGATGTGGTAACGAATTCTCTTCTCACTTGCAACTTGCACCCTTTAGTTGTAATTTCGTACCTGTTTATATATCGAAAACTTAAATCTTTGGTATTATTAATTATACTGGTTGATTCGTGTCGGTGTAGTGTTAATGAGTCTCAAGACTTGATGTTTCTTTCGTTCAAATTTCTGATTGTTTCTGAATAGACTCAGTGAAGACAGATTCTAATCGAAATAAATAGCTGAATAACGTATCGAAATTTCTACGTGATATTCATATTCTGAAATAGTGTTAATTCAATAATCAATTATAAGTATAACGATCAAGATTCACAGAAAAAATTTGACGACGAAATTTATTTCAAACAAAATAGTTATCCACTGTAAAATATATATATTTTTTAATTAATTTTAAATTTCAAACTCGTTGACAACCAAAAATTTAAAAATCGTAATTTTGATGGTAGAAAAAGTTTAAACCAAAAAGGTTGTCTTTTCATAAAAATTTATTTGGCATTAGGAGAGGGACAATCCGAAAGGAAAATTCGCATTAAAATCAGTGGCAAAACGTGCATGTGTGCCGTAATCAAACGTGTCTATGTAAAATCCGGATTGGAGTATTATTTATGAGTTGCATTGTTGTAATGTATTCTGTGTAAAATTATCTTTATCCCGGTTGTTGCGACAAGTGAAAATGCTCTTATTAGGGAAAGGAGTTTACTCGACGTTTCAATGTAACTACATCGTATTCATGATCTCAAATTATTTGTTATATAGTAGTGTTGAAAGTATTAAAACAAATAATTTGAGATCATGAATACGATGTAGTTACATTGAAACGTCGAGTAAACTCCTTTCCCTAATAAGAGCATTTTCACTTGTCGCAACAACCGGGATAAAGATAATTTTACACAGAATACAATCATGTCTGTGCTTGCTCAATGCTCGCGCACGTGCATTATTATGATGTCATGTTGCTACGCAACGACGCAGTAACATTTTGCTGAAATAACGCTATTGTTATATCGTTAACTTTGCATTCCTCTGACGTTAATTATAAAAAATCTAAAGCTTAAATCAAAGTTTAAAAAATGCTATAATAGCTACATATCTTTTTTTCTGAAACCTTGCTAAAAACTGCAAGTTTTCTACTCTATTTGCAAGCTGAAATTGTTCACATCGAAGGGTCAGTTTTGGTAAACTTTTTGTGTTTTTATGCCGATTCCGGGGACATTTTGTAGAGTTAAAAATATAGTAATATTGCCGATTGTTATTATAATTAAAGATTAAGTAAACCAAAAATTTCTTTCCTAGATGTCCGACTCAGATCTTTTCGCGCGACTGGAATCTGCGGATGGAGATTCACCCTCGAACTCGCAAGAAGGAGATGAGTCGCGATCGATTCCAGACAGCGGCATCTCAATTAATGAAAAACCACAGCTTTATAAACAGCTTTATGATGAAGATGCGGACGTTAAACTGGACCGTGGCACGAAAGGAGGCAAGCGTCAAGTATATGATAGTAATGGGTGCATCATTGGTATGTTTTTCAATAACTATTTTTCATGACTATTTACCAATGAAAATATATATTTATGGTCATATACCCAGATCCCGATGGCACTGTCGCGGCACTCTCGTGGCACTTTCATTATGAAGGTATAATGATTGTCTTATGCTTTTGAAAGAACATGATTAAAAGTTGGCACTATGCCTCCATACTGCCATACTGCCGCCATAATGCCGCGACAGTGCCGCCATAGTGCCACGAGAGTGCCACGTGAGTGCCATGAGAGTGCCACGAGAGTGCCACGAGAGTGCCACGTGAGTGCCACGAGAGTGCCACGAGAGTGCCACGAGAGTGCCACGAGAGTGCCACGAGAGTGCCACGAGAGAACCACGAGAGTGCCACGAGAGTGCCACGAGAGAACCACGAGAGTGCCACGAGAGTGCCACGAGAGTGCCACGAGAGTGCCACGAGAGTGCCACGAGAGTGCCGTCGGCCGGATCGGGATTCGAATGTATGACAACATTTATATATTATACTCATTGGAAGGCAGATGCTCAGCTTCACGAAGCTGAAAGAGACTTGGTGTGTGAGTCAGTGCGAGGTATGGTGCAACCTCTTACCTCTTAGTAGAGCGGGAATTGGTTTCGGTGATTGGAAGAAGCCCTGGGAGAAGATGTCAGAAAAGGAGCAGCAGAGGGAGGTGTTGGATAGGGTTAAGGAGAACATCAGGAAGGAAAGAGAGGTGCAGTTGGGTACGTTGGAGATGCAGTCCAGGTGGGGTAATTGGAGAGAGTTGGTGACAAGGACTGACATGAGCTGGCACACGCTCTTCAAGTATGGGGACTCATTAATCGGTTTTCTGCTTAGTGCTGTGTATGGCACGCTTGTTACACCAGCTTTAGCATCCAAGTGGAGCGAGGATGAGGATGGGATGTGCAAGCTGTGTGGTGACAAGTTGGGAACTGTGCCGCATATCCTGGCTGGTTGTCCTGTGGCACTAAGTCAAGGGAGATACCGATGGCGCCACGATAAGGTGCTTAAACAAATAGCAGACCAGGTTAAATTCCATTGTGAGCGGAGAGTCAACAAGAGGAAGAGTTCTTGTGTCACTCGGAAAGCCATTGAGTTTGTCCCAGCAGGAGGGAGGTTTAAGGAGGTGAAGAGGTCGAAAGTCAGTGAGTTTGGGATTCTGAGTGGGGCCACTGATTGGATAGTATTAGCAGACCTGGATAAGCAGCTGAAATTCCCGTCGGATATAGCAACGACCAGATTAAGACCAGATTTGGTTCTTTTCTCGAAAGCTTCCAAGAGAGTAATCTGGTGGGAGCTTACAGTACCGTCGGAAGAGAGAATAGCTGCATCCCATGAGCTGAAGCTTGATCGGTATAACAGTCTACAAGCGGAAATACAAGCTAATGGGTGGTCATGTTTCAGCTTTGCTGTTGAGGTTGGTGCTAGAGGTGTGGTCGCAGCAAGTTTGGAGTGTGCATCAAGGAAGATTGGTCTGACTGGGAGAGCCCTCAAGAAGTTGGTCAGAGACTGTGGGAAGGATGCAGCCCATTGTTCAAGATGGATTTATCTGCTGTCTAGGAAAAGAGAGTGGGAGATGAGAGCTGTTTGAGCTTTATGACTTCACCTAACAGCCAGAGGTACCATAAGCTAACTCGTCGTAAATCGCGAGCTCTAGCAGGTATCCTCGGGTGATTGTCAGATCAGATGGTGGTCCAAGAGAGACTGCTGGGGCACCTGACAGAAAACCGTATCGCAATGAAAGCCCCGAAACGGTGTCAGGTTTGTGACTGAAGATTCTGATCAAGCTCAGGGTTGAGTCTACACAGTGTCGCCACTTGCCGATGCCATTTGATGCGAGAAGACACTGATGTAAGTGGGAAGTTATGTCTAAGAAACAGCGTGTGGTTCGGGTGCCGGTTGAACGCATGTAAAAGGGAGGGTATATCCGTATTTCGCTGCTAGTGATGCAGTCCTTGGCCCGGTAGCTAAGGCTTCCCCGTTTCTCGCTCATTTGTGCTCCGATGGGCTTGTGACCTCTGAGGGGGTCAAGTGCAGGATGAGGGACATGGCCGACCAGGAGAATGTTGTTTTTGGGAGATAGAGTAGGGTTGATTTGGTGTTGTGCCTTCGCAGTTTAACTGTATCTTTACTCTATCATGTTTAACTGTTTAAAGCCACAGGGAAAATATTGACAAAGCTGAAAAAATGATTATTATTATAACTTATTGATTAATTACATAATAGTGACAATTATGGTCACAGGTTTTTTAAAAATTAACAAGTTGAGGCAGTTATCCTTTTTCCATTTCAGGATCCAAACTTCCAAAACGATATCGAATGATGATGTTGATGTTCGCTTGTCTTGGAAATTTCGTAGTCATCATCTCCAGGCTTTATCCATCAGGGTTCTACCTGGATTTCATCTTGACAGAGGATTTGAGCACCACGCTAGGTAAGAATTTGCGAATGAACTCATTTATTCTACATTTAAAAAAACTTTTTAGCAAATTTTTAACGATGATATTTTGCATTTTTAGAACGCTACGTGAAATGTGAACGTGGATATCTTAAATCAAAATGCTTTAAGCATTTTCAATTATAACTAATAATATTGGTACAGCTGCTTCAAATATTTCTCATCGCAGGAACAATATCTATATCAATCATGTTAGTTACATCTGCAATGAGCCCTCTCGTCAACTATTGTCTTCCAAAATCCATCAAAAAATCCTCTCTGTCCATTCGGTGCCTTGTCCTGTGCTTTGTCAACGCTCTCTGTATAGCTCTGATGTCCTTGGTGGATGTAACCTTACAGCATGATCCTACTGGAAATACAGCCTTCGCGACTATATTTGTCCTAAGAGGAGTCCAGGGCATCGTTGTTGGCTTGCTTTACATTTTAGTCCAGGTATGAATACTAAATTACCAAAAACAAACTTATACATAATATATATCTTACGAGACATATTTATACTCGACAAAATTCCGGTGACCTAAATGATTTGATTTTGATTTTGGGAATGAAAATATAGGATTTTTTGCCGAAAACCAACTCATTTCGTACCTCAAGTTAAATCATGGTATTTGGGGATTTTTTCATTTCTTTATTTTACAAAAATAAAACTCAATATTTGGGGCTGGGTAAACGAAGGGCCTGTTGTGCTTATTTTTACAAAGATACAATACACGTATGACCGATTAAGTTAATGTTAAAACATTACAAATTTTTAACGATACGGAATGTAAATTGATAATGATGACGACAAATTTCAGGGTGAAATTGTGGATTTATACTTCAAGGACGACAACATGCCAATCATACTGATTAGCGCTTTCCTACAAATCGGAGCTATTCTCTCTGCCATCCTCAGTGCTGAGCTCTTCGTCTATGGAGGTTGGGTCTTTGTCGGTCTGGTCATAGCTTGCTTCAACTTTTTCCCCGTGATGCTTCTGCCAGCCGTGAGAACAGTGCACAATGATACAAATATCAAAAAAAATCACGGCCAAGGCGTTAAAAGGGAACTGTTAGCCCAAAATTCGGTTGAAAGTTGTATCATCTCGGAGAGAAGCAATCGATTTGAAACGGTTACAAGTAGGACCCGGAAGGTGGCATTCTACATTCCAGATTTGATGGTGTTCTTCAACAATCTGGTTTGTGACCTGATTGCATATGCCCTTCCAGCCAGAATCGTACTTTACAGTCAGATCCCTTTGAGCACCGCAGTGCCTTTGTTTCAAACTGGAAACCTGTGCTCACTTTTCGCTGCTTTAACCTTTAGTTACTTAGCAAGTAGGAATAAAAAGTTTGACGTTATTGGATTAATGACAATAGCAAATATCATGTATTATTTCGGTTCAATCGTGGCATTTGCTTCTACAACGACTACTATGCAGTTCTTAGATTTCCCCTATCAGTTGCTTATAGGCTTAGTCTTTATGGGGATAGGTGAAGCAGGCCATTTGAACCTCTGCATCTTAAGCAAGTTTGCCCTCTACGATAAGTGGAATATGAGAAAAACTGGCCTGGGTAAAAGATCTACCATATTAAACAACGTGGCACTTAGCTTGTCTTCTGCCGCAGGAACTGCCATATCTGGATACTCATTAACCGAGGAAAGTGAAATCCCTACTGTGTCAACTCTGATAGGACTTGGTGTTTGCCTCACTGCCGTATCTTTGTTCTGTAAGCATGTGAAGTAGACTATGGTGTCTAGTACATTGAGTTGAGGCACCGGAGAAGTGAAAGATGTGTTGAGTAAAGATGAATTTGACAGTACAGTCGAAGTCAGAAGAGATATGGAACTTTGATGAGGTATCAGAGAACGACGAAGATGAAGCTGTCCACAAAAACAATTATCAGCATTTTGGATGTAGTAGTGTTTCTTTGCTGTTAACGTTTTGTTTCGAATATTATAACTACTTCTTGTAACAAAATGATTCACGGAGTTTAATTTGGATTTCATGAAAACTTAAAGTTCACGAAAAGCTTGAATTACATTATAACCTTAAAATTCTAACGCGAAAATTCTATTCTACCCAGAGTCTGCACATGAGTGATACATATTAATTAATTGTTATTTGCTAAACTAATATATCACACCATTAGTAACTGAAACAAGAATTTACCACACAGATATCCGCGATCTTTAACCAAACAGAAAGGGAAGCAGCTTTGTCAATCCTGGATTTACGGTGATTTCGAAATCTCTCAACGCGCGTGCGGGCTTTCAGATCATGTGATCTCTCTGACCAAAACTTTATGATATCTGACCAAATAATATGTCCTCGCTGCTTGCAGTATTCACTATTTATGCTCATCATTGTCATCCCTCTGTCTCACTATAACAGAAATCCAGACATATATGTAAATAAATAACCTATTTCAATTTGTGTCTTAGCAATTTAGCAAAATCGTCAAAATTTGTAATGATCAAACCGGAACACTTTTAGTTACTTTGAGGTGCTGTTTGTTTTTTTCATCCACTAAATCCTTACTCAGTTTTATCATAAGTTGCTCGAAAATCCGCGGGTTAATGTTTTTAGCGATCAGATGAAGATATGTCCTGCCTGTAGTCCCACAGTTAAAGTAAATGTACTTGAGTTTGCTGTCGCCCTTAAGAAAGCAACTTTGTATAAATCGCTGGTATCCACCGTCTACAAAGCAGTGGGTGGAGACGGAGAAGAAGAGGGAGAAAGTGTTGGAGAAGATGCAAAGGACGAGAGCGAACCAGAATATGAGAAAGAGATATTGGTTCATGACGTTTGGAGCCAGCACACACATTCCTTGCTCCTCTTCCATGCCTGAAAGGATTCACGATGACATCTATTTATTTTAATGTCAGAATCAAATGCCAGGAAAAATGTAACTAAAAGTCTTAATATCAGTTTGGATTATTTTAAACCGAAATGCTTTATAAAATATTACTATTCTCAACTCATCGGATCACAAATTCAAACATTTTCCGTCCTCACCTGAAGGGCCCCATCTTTTGATTTCACATGCCACCATTTTTGGGAACAGCCGGTCCCGTACAAAACTAGTGTAGTTGGAATTCTGCAATATATTCGACCTTTATAATCGCAAGTGATATTGAGGTTGTTATTTCTGAAGCGAGTTTCCAAAATTTGAAACACCATTAATAGATACTAACCGCACCATTACTCGGACTAAAAACTATAAGAATGACCATCACCTTGTCTAGGGAAGCAAACCATTCGGTCCCGTATGTGAGATAGCTTCCTGATTCGAACATAGTATGAGTGAAGTACATTGTCGCCAGGCTCACTGAAATAGTGTTTAAAATTACCAGATTGTCACCATGGCCGGTTCCGTGAACTCGTTGTGATAATTTTTCTACATCGATTTTTGCAACGTTTAATCATATTTTGGTATAACAAAGCGACTCACCACCGAGGTAGAAAATCTTTGTGAGGAAAATTAGAAAAAACATCCGGTGACTTTGTGTAACTTTAGCGTACGTTGTTTTCTCTTGAATGAAAATGTTAAGTTTGATAGCCAACCACCGAGATACTTTGTTTATTTGATCTTTAGTAACTTCGTCACCGTCAATCTGAAATTTGTATATGAAGACACTGTAAGTATTATGATAGATCAGCACGAATTACCTGCAGTGGATGTGGAATGTGGTGAGGTGAGGTGAAACATATAATCTCAACACCTCACATGTTTCTAGCGGAAAAGCTGCGGCCTATCCTTGTTATAAAATACGGTCTTTTATGGGGATAACATGGGGCCTTTTAATCCTATCAATATCTGAATATTGTTGCGGACTAATGAACAATACGGTGCCCTTAACAGTTAACTTGGTCGGGAATCATACTGCACAGAGAGATTGATAATTCTATCCCTTCTTCATTCTTTAGTGATTATCGAATGATCAACAACTAATTTAAAATCGTATATTTTATAATATTGGTTGTTTCAATTTGATAATTTTGTGTGATTAGGTCATTCGACCACCGTTAGTATTAATAACTTTAAAGGTTATCTGAAAAGAAACATATTTCATAAGGGTCTTAAAAATATGATTCAGACAGGTAGGTTTTACAAATGTGCGGCACTGAGGCATACTGAGCTGGGTAGTACGTAAAAGCATGTCATTATGTATCACGATTCACGATGAATATTTGTCCTAAATTAATTTCAAGAATCTTAATCATGATGTCACTTTCATAATTGATAATCGTACCCTTCTAATACCCTTTGCACGCGTGCAAATGATTCACAGCTTCAAAAAAGTACTAAACATCATTATGCAGAAATATTTAGGATGGGCGCTAATTACTTTTTGAATAACTTTGCAGTAGTACAGTATGACACTTACAGGAAGTCTGGACGTGTCAGGCACGGTCTCATGAAAAACCTAACTTTAAAACCTAACTTTACCACATGTGTTAAAATATTATATTGAGGCCCTGAATGAATCGTAATCATCGATAATCTTATCTGCGCTATAGAATTAGATAGGTAACAATTAATGATAACCTGAACACTGATTAATAATTATCCAAGTCATCAATTTTTTGACCGAGAACGGTGCCATGAAAATACAGCAAAATATCTCATTAATATCACCTACAGGATTATGAAGCATGGCTAGAATAGGTTTCAGTTCGTTTACTCCAAGTTGTTTGTACACAATGTAAGGAGCAATGAAGGCTATTGAAATGACCCAGAAGTAGAACGGAACCCATTGGTACCACGTGTGGTGAACCCTGAAAGAAAATTATTTCAGACAATGTTTTGATCAATTTTCCTAAACTTCCACAGTTGTAAAAACCCTCTAAAACCCCCCAAACGACATAATGATAAAGTATGAAGCAGCTAATATAAGCACCTGGTTATAATAACATTAGTTACTTAGTGTAGTGATACCTGGTGGGAGCTAAGTATTCGTCAGCAGGGGGACACACAATCCGTCCTCCAGTTACAAGTCTCCGGGTCAGACAGGGTGGAGCGTTCTCCGGTATCAAACCTGTAGTGTTTATAGTGACCTAGTTGGTAACCTACCTTACTCGGGAATATTATAACCGGGATAAAGTGGTGGGTTTTGGAAGATTCCGCCATATTTTTCCCGGTCAAAAATTTTACCAGTCATAAAAAAACCCGCCGACTCAGATTATGGGGTTCCAAGGGGGTGGTGATCATCATATTTTACCTGAAGTCTCATATGTGCTAGAGAAGACTTTTGAAGCAGTGGATGGAGGGCTGTAACTTTATTGGCGGTTGCTACCATAATTTCGTTATAAAAATCACAATTTGGTTATAGAAATCAGATTTCAGGGTGGACCGTGATTCTCACTTCTCTTGCCCATGAATCAGTGAATCGTAGAGATAAGAAGAAAACAATTTATATGTTATAGAAGAAAACAAAAATAATAATAATATATAATATATATTATAGTAATAATGTCTCTAAAGATTGATCGCTTCTCGTGTGCAGTGTGTAGACTAAAGAAAGAGGTAGTTTTTCCCGTTAAAGTAACTTGTGGCCACATCCCGCTAGAAGTGAGTAACCTGTGCCACTATTTCATGGTCAACGGTGGATTGATTACTGGAGCAGTTGAAGATGCAATTGCAAAGCCAAGACGTTCCCAAATACCAAGCGGTATGGTAACCTAGTTGGTAACCTAGTAACCAAGTAACCTAGTAACCAAGTAACCAAGTAACCTAGTAACCAAGTAACCAAGTAACCAAGTAACCAAGTAACCAAGTAACCAAGTAACCAAGTAACCAAGTAACCAAGTAACCTAGTAACCAAGTAACCAAGTAACCAAGTAACCAAGTAACCAAGTAACCAAGTAACCTAGTAACCAAGTAACCGAGTAACCAAGTAACCACGTTACCAAGTAACCAAGTAACCAAGTAACCAAGTAACCAAGTAATCAAGTAACCAAGTAACCAAGTAATCAAGTAACCAAGTAACCAAGTTGATATTCTAGTTGCTAACTTGGTAAGTGACCTAGAGTTTGTAACATATACAGACTTTTCAGTAAAACGTGCAAAACAAATTATAACCAGTAACCTGGGTAAGGTAAAGTATTGTCCACGATGTCATAAGCTTCCTTTATGGTGTACAGTCCCTGGGTCCAGCAGTAATCCTCCGCAAAAGCAGCTGAGAACTTGGTGAGCCCGTCACACGCTATAATACCCCCTGTGTACTGACGGAACGTCACTGAAATTTACGTTTTAGCTCCGGACTCATTACTCAATTTTGTAGTTTCATAAGTAATAATAGGATAATATTATGTTGTTACCTTTTTATCCGTGCTAGTTATTCAGGTTTTTGGGTACCGGGCCATCCTGGTTACCCTGCTTTGAGCTGTTCCCCTGGCTTATGCAAGTCTAGTTTACCCATATATATAGAGATATAGGATGATATATCTAACTTATGCAGGTCTAGTTTACCCATATATATAGAGATATAGGATGATATATCTAATTTTAAAGTAAGCCGGTTAGTGGTTAACTGAGAAGCTGCATGCCACGTGACTTACCGAACTTAATTTCGGTTCATCATAAATAATAATCAAAAAAAATTAATCAAAAAGGTAAAGTGGGTAAAGATGGCCAGAGGCCAAAAGGGCAAGCTGTAAGGTGAAGCTGTAAAGGCAAGTTGAATTGTGGTGAGACTAACCGACAGTTCCAAATATGACACACAACAGGAACATGTAACATCTGTTGACCTGGTCCCATTTGTCATCAAGAACTATTTCTTTGAAAGGTGTTGCTCCCTTGAAGTTTGCTAGTATCTCCAATAACATCTTCTACTCATCCTGGGACCAAGTGATGTTAAAATGCTGGTAACCTGGTAACCTGGTAACCTGGTAACCTGGTAACCTGGTAACCTGGTAACCTGGTAACCTGGTAACCTGGTAACCTGGTAACCTGGTAACCTGGTAACCTGGTAACCTGGTAACCTGGTAACCTTGAAGTTTGCTAGTATCTCCAATAACATCTTCTACTCATCCTGGGACCAAGTGATGTTAAAATGCTGGTAACCTGGTAACCTGGTAACCTGGTAACCTGGTAACCTGGTAACCTGGTAACCTGGTAACCTGGTAACCTGGTAACCTGGTAACCTTGAAGTTTGCTAGTATCTCCAATAACATCCTCTACTCATCCTGGGACCAAGTGATGTTAAAATGCTGGTAACCTAGTAACCTGGTAACCTGGTAACCTGGTAACCTGGTAACCTGGTAACCTGGTAACCTGGTAACCTGGTAACCTGGTAACCTGGTAACCTGGTAACCTGGTAACCTGGTAACCTGGTAACCTGGTAACCTGGTAACCTGGTAACCTGGTAACCTGGTAACCTGGTAACCTGGTAACCTGGTAACCTTGAAGTTTGCTAGTATCTCCAATAACATCCTCTACTCATCCTGGGACCAATGGTATGTTGTCATGGTAACTCCATACTCCAGACAGTTATATCATTACAAACCACCTATATATAATATACCTATATAATAAATAATAGGTACGTGCCCGGACCAAGTGATGTTAAAATGCCGGTATGATCCTTGTAATATGATGTCTTAGATAAAGCAGCGTATCAGAAACCAGTTCATTTCTTAACAAAACAGCAGAGCAAGTATGTAAAAGACTAGTTCCAAAAGCTGTCATTCAATTTCAATTATGTATATTGACGATCATTTTTAAAATCAAGAAATCTATGTTATTTTCTACCTTACCTGAGATTTCTGAGCCAAGGATCTAGCCCAAGGCTTGAAAACAACAAAATATTCCAGATCAATTGCCAAAATAACTCCGATTATGTATTTTAAAACATAGAAAATGCAGACTCTATCATCTCTTGTGTCCGAGATCGCTGTGATCCCAGAATAGATGCAGAAGGTGGACTAAAAATGGAGCATTGTGGAACTTACCAATGGCAGATGAAATATTTTATCACATGACAAGACATTTGCAGGGATTATTAATTTAGTGATGGAACAATGCATTGTTTCCTCGCAAGCTTTGGAGGAAACATCTTTTATTTGCTTGCATACTGAAGACAGATATAAATATATGATTACACTTTACTACAATAACCCTGAAGAACATCCACACTTTCTTATCCCAAATTGTACTTGATGGAAAAGTAGAAAATTGATAACGATATACAGTTGTAAGAAAGTTGTTGATTTGGTAATATGAAAGTTGAAATTGTTTACAAATTACTTTATAGCGATAGTCTATCAAGCTATCAGACACAAATTAGACTAAATAAAGAAAAGAATTTCTGAATAAAAATGGACAAGACTTTTCTGAATGAACGTGTACGATAAATTACCATATCGGCTTTAAGTGTCTGGCTTTGATTTTACGTTTTCACCTAAAACCACAAAACCGTGGTAGTGCTAAAAACCGGAAAAATATAAAAAAAAGTTTATATTTTAATCATATTCTGAGCTATAACTATGAAACCATCAAATTAGAGAATTGTTTATGTTTTCACTTACCGTTGGAACAACTTGAGAGCTCTATTTATAATCAAAGGTTTTAGCGACACAAAAACAATAATGCAGACAAACAATTGTCTGGACTATGAAAACTGACAGAATGCACTATTTCTAAGCTAAGTTTACTCTTTGTCTGTCTGCATCATTTGCCCACGCATTTGGTAAGATTCCATGAGAGAATTCCAAATCCTACAACCTACATCCAAAACATCGCCACATTAATGAATCCGCGATTGGCAGCAAATTCATACTCAGAATCACGATCAACAATCCAATGTTCCTGCCTATAAAGCAAAATGTTTTGGTGAATATGGTCAAGTCAACAAATTCCAATATGAGGTAGATTCTAGTATAACTTAAGTTTTAGATTGAAGGTTTGATCAATAATAATAAAGCTGTTCCCACAGATACAGGCTCATGTAGAGGCGTAGTCACAGGCGTGGTCACAGTCAGGAACCGCTCTTATGAACATAAGCAGTTTTGTTTGACTACGCAGTTAAACAAAAAATAAAACTCAGATTTTGGCTTAAGATGAGATAAAACAAATAAACATTATATCACAAATATTTAATAGATCATCTCAGTATGTTATATTAGAAATGCAGTTTCATTTTACTACGTACAAATTTGACAAATGCCCAGGCTATATTCAAGTCCGCATCTTGCCCAAATGATAGTTAATCAAAGCCACCAGCTCTTATTTGATGATCAATACTAAATTCGTCATTAGATGTTAATCCAATCTTTTTTATCATCATCGGAGATTTAGATCTGAAGGGAGAGGAAGAAGACCATTTCACCGAACTTCAAAAGGGTTGATTGGTTGTGTCCTAAATTCGTAGACTAATGATTCCTCTGATCGTTGGGGAATTTCCTGAAATCATTTTAGAATGATAGTAAAGTGGCTTTAGAAATTTTGATTCGTTGGTTTTAGTAAAATAGTTTGGCCCTTCTAATAAATCCAAATACTGGTGGAAGTAAAGTTCCAATTCCATTCAAAATGAAAATGTTAATTAAAACATTTCAGGGGGAAATGTTTTGGCTGCTACTCACATTGCTAGTATTTTTAGCATTATTACTATCACATTTTCTAACAAACAGATTGTGTCCACTGTTCAACAGCTTATTTCCTTCGAGACTCTTTATCTGCTGCAGCAAAGGTGAAAATCTTGTTTTCTTTACTTTCCCTCTTCGAGAATATTCCTGAAGAAATGAGCTAATCAAAATGTTTTAAGTTTTATTTCCAAAACTTTCGCTCAAAACTTGCGAAGACAAAGTGACCATGATATTTTATATTCCAAAGGCTAAAGATCAATAAAACTAAAGATCGATGAAATGAAAGGATCAGTATTAATTTCATAGAATTTCAATGGGACTAAACTGGTTGTCCATCACTCGTCTCTGGAGGGGGATCAGAGGGAGAGGCTGCTGGGGGTTCTACTGGAGATTGGTCTTGTGAATTGTTAGGTTGGTTGTTAGGTTGGTTGTTAGGTTGGTTGTTAGGTTGGTTGTTAGGTTGGTTGTTAGGTTGGTTGTTAGGTTGGTTGTTAGGTTGGTTGTTAGGTGAACCGCTTTCTGGCCATTCTTCGTACTTTGGAGGAGGTTCACTTGGTGTTGGGGGTTTCTGAAACATGATAATTTGTACAGTACTTACCTCCGTTTGTTAGTTTGTTAAATGAGGAGGGTTAGATTCCTGTTACTAACCTGGTAACCCTGTATCCTGGTAACCTGGTAACCTTGCAACCTAGTAACCTTTTAACCTTGTAACTTTGTAACCTTGTAACCGTTTAACCTTGTAACCTTGTAACCTTGTAACCTTGTAACCTTGTAACCTTGTAACCTTGTAACCTTGTAACCTTGTAACCTTGTAACTTTGTAACCTTGTAACCGTTTAACCTTGTAACCTTGTAACCTTGTAACCTTGTAACCTTGTAACCTTGTAACCTTGTAACCTTGTAACCTTGTAACCTTGTAACCTTGTAACCTTGTAACCTTGTAACCTTGTAACCTTGTAACCTTGTAACCTTGTAACCTTGTAACCTTGTAACCTTGTAACCTTGTAACCTTGTAACCTTGTAACCTTGTAACCTTGTAACCTTGTAACCTTGTAACCTGGCAACCTTGTAACCTTGTGACCTTGTAACTTTGTAGCCAGGTAACCTTGTAACCTGGTAACCTGGTAACCTGGTGACCTTGTAATTTTGTAGCCAGGTAACCTTGTAACCTGGTAACCTGGTAACCTTGTAACCTTGTAACCTGGTAACCTTGTAACCTGGTAACCTGGTAACCTGGTAACCTGGTAACCTGGTAACCTGGTAAACTGGTTACCTGATAACCTGGTTACCTGGTTACCTGGTAACCTGGTTACCTGGTAACCTGGTAACCTGGTAACCTGGTAACCTGGTAACCTGGTAACCTGGTAACCTGGTAACCTGTTAACCTGGTTACCTGTTAATATGGTAACCTGGTAACCTGATAACCTGGTAACCTGATAACCTGGTAACCTGGTAACCTGGTAACCTGGCAACCTGGTAACCTGGTAACCTGGTAACCTGGTAACCTGGTAACATGGTAACCTGGTAACCTGGTAACCTGGTAACCTGGTTACCTGGTAACCTGGTTACCTGGTAACCTGGTAACCTGGTAACTTTGTAACCTGGTAACCTGGTAACCTGGTAACGTACTAACCTGATACTGGTAGGTTGGAGGAACTATTGTTTGGTATAAAGGAGGATTGGGTTCCTGTTGTCGGTGTTGGGACAGCATTATCATCTGAAATATGTTGGCTTTAATCAACAGGGCGATGTTTGATAAATTTCAGTTTGCAAAATTCGACTGATTTGTGCAGGATTAAACGTTTATGCAGGCCTAGGGACTAGGAGTTATAATTGATAATCAGCAGGCCTAGGGACTAGGAGTTATAATTGATAATCAGCAGGCCTAGGGACTAGGAGTTATAATTGATAATCAGCAGGCCTAGGGACTAGGAGTTATAATTGATAATCAGCAGGCCTAGGGACTAGGAGTTATAATTGATAATCAGCAGGCCTAGGGACTAGGAGTTATAATTGATAATCAGCAGGCCTAGGGACTAGGAGTTATAATTGATAATCAGCAGGCCTAGGGACTAGGAGTTATAATTGATAATCAGCAGGCCTAGGGACTAGGAGTTATAATTGATAATCAGCAGGCCTAGGGACTAGGAGTTATAATTGATAATCAGCAGGCCTAGGGACTAGGAGTTATAATTGATAATCAGCAGGCCTAGGGACTAGGAGTTATAATTGATAATCAGCAGGCCTAGGGACTAGGAGTTATAATTGATAATCAGCAGGCCTAGGGACTAGGAGTTATAATTGATAATCAGCAGGCCTAGGGACTAGGAGTTATAATTGATAATCAGCAGGCCTAGGGACTAGGAGTTATAATTGATAATCAGCAGGCCTAGGGACTAGGAGTTATAATTGATAATCAGCAGGCCTAGGGACTAGGAGTTATAATTGATAATCAGCAGGCCTAGGGACTAGGAGTTATAATTGATAATCAGCAGGCCTAGGGACTAGGAGTTATAATTGATAATCAGCAGGCCTAGGGACTAGGAGTTATAATTGATAATCAGCAGGCCTAGGGACTAGGAGTTATAATTGATAATCAGCAGGCCTAGGGACTAGGAGTTATAATTGATAATCAGCAGGCCTAGGGACTAGGAGTTATAATTGATAATCAGCAGGCCTAGGGACTAGGAGTTATAATTGATAATCAGCAGGCCTAGGGACTAGGAGTTATAATTGATAATCAGCAGGCCTAGGGACTAGGAGTTATAATTGATAATCAGCAGGCCTAGGGACTAGGAGTTATAATTGATAATCAGCAGGCCTAGGGACTAGGAGTTATAATTGATAATCAGCAGGCCTAGGGACTAGGAGTTATAATTGATAATCAGCAGGCCTAGGGACTAGGAGTTATAATTGATAATCAGAAGTTGATTAAAACTATCACCACAAGGTATATGAACTCCTTGATTAGGTCTAATGCAACACTAATACAGGGTCTGAGTTCATAATACTGGGGCTGCATCACTCCTCCTCGTTACCTGGTAACCTGGTAACCAGGTTACCTGGTTACCAGGTTACCAGGTTACCAGGTTACCAGGATACCAGGTTACCTGGTTACCTGGTAACCTGGTTACCCCAGCCCTACACTTACCTCATCCTGCCGGTATCTCTCATTGTACCAGTCGCTTAGCCGTCTGGCCTGTCTGAAATTATGGACGGTAATTAACTTTAAGTGCATTGTGCAAAGTTGAAATGCTACTCTAAATTAAGTCATGCGATTATGGGGTAATCAAAATCTTAAAATTAAAATGTATTTTTGTTTTTTATGAAATCATAAATTCAGAATAGCTAGGGTAAATAAATAATGTTTGCCAAACTTATTTTTGCTGGTTTATGGATACAACCTTGTAACCTGGTAACCAGGTAACCAGGTAACCTGGTAACCTTGTAACCTGGTAACCAGGTTACCTGGTTATCTGGTAACCAGGTAACCAGGTAACCTGGTAACCTTGTAACCTGGTAACCTGGTAACCTGGTTACCAGGTTACCTGGTTACCTGGTAACCAGGTTACCAGGTAACCTGGTAACCTTGTAACCTGGTAACCTGGTAACCTGGTAACCTGGTAACCTGGTTTATGGATACAACGTACCCGAAAATCCCCGTAATTATACTCCAGAAGTAAGCGATAACGGAAATGTTTAATATTATTAATAGAATCAACCAGAACCAATATGAATCAACTTTCAAAAACATTATCCGCCATAAAAATAAGACTATCCCCATAAACTACATCAGTTAACAACACACCATTAACATGAACCTTGCAGAGTACAAGTATGATGAAAAGTGGTTGAAACGTGTATAATTACTAGATGCCGTAAGATTCGAAGACAAGTAGTGAGTGATACTGCTATATAGTGACTATATAGTGACATTAGCAGCTTAATTTTCTTTACACTAGCCTAGTGTAAGCTAAATTGTAAGCTAAATTGCTCTATGCTACATAAGTTACGTTTGCTCATGACTCATGAGTGTTAGAGGTAAATGGAGAGAAGCACTGGCACGAAACTCGTTCCAGACTCCATCTGAATCGAACTAGGCAGGCAGGCATATATATTATCCGAAACTTAGAATAACGTTATTTGTATTTTACTTTGTTTTTCAACAAAAAACAGACCTGCACCAGGCACCTGTTCCCCTCTCTTGACATACAAATTAGTTTAATGTTACAAAATAATTGTCAAGCAGTTCAAAATTTGAGCTAATTCTTTGTCTCAAAACAACTGTGAGTCTACACGATCACAAATAAACCAACAGATGCACAATGAACTTACTGCCTAGATACTGCCCTGACAACAGATACACAATGAACTTACTGCCTAGATACTGCCCTGACAACAGATACACAATAAACTTACTGCCTAGATACAGCCCTGACAACAGATACACAATAAACTTACTGCCTAGATACTGCCCTGACAACAGATACACAATGAACTTACTGCCTAGATACTGCCCTGACAACAGATACACAATGAACTTACTGCCTAGATACTGCCCTGACAACAGATACACAATAAACTTACTGCCTAGATACTGCCCTGACAACAGATACACAATGAACTTACTGCCTAGATACTGCCCTGACAACAGATACACAATGAACTAACTGCCTAGATACTGCCCTGACAACAGATGCACAATGAACCTACTCCTAGATACTGCCCTGACAACAGATACACAATGAACTTACTGCCTAGATACTGCCCTGACAACAGATACACAATGAACTTACTGCCTAGATACTGCCCTGACAACAGATACACAATGAACTTACTGCCTAGATACTGCCCTGACAACAGATGCACAATGAACTTACTGCCTAGATACTGCCCTGACAACAGATACACAATGAACTTACTGCCTAGATACTGCCCTGACAACAGATACACAATGAACTTACTGCCTAGATACTGCCCTGACAACAGATACACAATGAACTTACTGCCTAGATACTGCCCTGACAACAGATGCACAATGAACTTACTGCCTAGATACTGCCCTGACAACAGATGCACAATGAACTTACTGCCTAGATACTGCCCTGACAACAGATGCACAATGAACTTACTGCCTAGATACTGCCCTGACAACAGATACACAATGAACTTACTGCCTAGATACTGCCCTGACAACAGATGCACAATGAACTTACTGCCTAGATACTGACCTGACAACAGATGCACAATGAACTTACTGCCTAGATACTGCCCTGACAACAGATACACAATGAACTTACTGCCTAGATACTGCCCTGACAACAGATACACAATGAACTTACTGCCTAGATACTGCCCTGACTTCTGGATCCTCAAATATAATGATGATGAACACCTGGTAACCTGGTAACCTGGTAACCTGATAACCTGATAACCTGGTAACCTGGTAACCTGGTAACCTGGTAACCTGGTAACCTGGTAACCTGGTAACCTGGTAACCTGGTAACCTGGTAACCTGGTAACCTGGTAACCTGGTAACCTGGTAACCTGGTAACCTGGTAACCTGGTAACCTGGTAACCTGGTAACCTGGTAACTTACTGCCTAGATACTGCCCTGACTTCTGGATCCTCAAATATAATGATGATGAACACGACTATGCAAGCGAAGCAAAAGAAAGTCAGCATCACCCACAACCACCAGTCAGTGTTAGAGTTCATCTCCCCGCTCTCCATCCCACCAGCTCCTGGTGACATCTCTCCTCCTCCTCCTCCCATTTCTCCTCCTCCTCCCATTTCTCCTCCTCCTCCTACATCCCTCTCCATTGTGCAAGAGTGTTGGCTTTTTTTCGGGTATTGATCAGCTCTTCTTGGAGGAGGAGGTTTTTATCTTTGAATCTCCTCATTTGTCATTGTCTCTGTTTCTATTAATTGGGAGATGATTTACATTTTTTTAAATATTGTAAGTTCGCGCAGTACATCTCTGTACTTTGGAGTCTGGACTTAAGTATATTAATTGTCGGATATGGCCTTTTTTATTATTTGGACTTTTGGAGTACGGCATGATGTGAAATATTAAGGTAATAAGCAGCAACTAATGTCCTAATGTCCCATCTTCAGGATAGAACTGCTTGTTTTCACAGAGCTGAAAGGCGTATTATACCGATAATTTTGGTACATCAAGTATAAATGGGACTCACAAATATGAAATATCCACTGAATCAACTTTTTAACAGAACAAAAGACTTTTCAAAACAATTTCAGTACGATTTTAACCTTTCACATGGAAGATGATTGGTTTAATCCAGGTGACTTCTTACAGAGCAAAGATCGTAAAAATGCCCAAAAATAACAAGATAACAGTTTTAGGTTTCAAATAACCCAATTTACACATTAACACTTCAACAAAGTCAGAAAAATGTCACACAAGAAACGCAGGAACATGTAAACAGAGCACAACAAAAGAAGAAAAAACAGAGAAAATCCTACATTTGTGTAAGCAAGATTATTATATACATTTACATGCACTTCAGCGTCCCATATCCATTTCTTAACTGAATTATTATATAAATATGTCATGCTACTTGTGAGAGAAGCTTGTCAGATTTTTATAAAAACCTTATCGGTTTATAGGATCCACACGTTTATTATAGTTCACAAGCAAATAACAAGCAGTAGGCACTAGCCTTATGTTACTCTAATCATGCGTATTAACTTTATTCGTAAAATAAGTTTGTGCAGTGATTTCGAACATTTTCGCATATTTCTGCTCAAATTTTTGCCATTCACAATTCAAGATTGTCGATGTTTAATCAAATACGAATTGTTCGTTTAATTTTATATGATTGTTGTTGTTTGTATTACTTCAGAATCCTGATTGAATCGAATATTGATACTACTTTAACTTTGGCTTTAAGTTCTTATTGAAAATGGAACGAGCAGATTTCGCTCCAAGTATATATCTGATCTTTGCATTTTTAAGCAATAAAAAGCAATAGAGCAAGCTATAAAAAGCGATCTAAACTTCCCAAACGCCTGAAATGTAAAATAAAACGGACTGAGAGAAAAGTAAATGTCACTTATGTTTTATTATTTGATATATTCTTCAAGTTCAAACGAAAGATGAAACCAACTTATATGTAACAGAAATCGAGCCATCAATGACTGAGCTTAATAAGGTCCGCACGTCTATATTTCGATTTGTACCATTTGAATTTTAATATGTGAACAAATTGTACCTCGTACCTTTTGAAGGTGATAAATAGTTTTCTGGTAATGATTACTGATTAGGTAAGAACCAATATTTAAGGTAATAAAAATAACAACATCTTAGCTCTGTACCCTGTACAAACGCAATTATTAACTTGAGGAACGAACAAAGGGGAGCCTCAAAATGAGCATAGGATACGATGTACCATACTGCTGTAATGGCCCGTAAATACCCCTCAGGGGACACATCCCGACCAAGTGGATATATATTTCCACTCTTAGATATAATATATACTCTGTAATGGGGAGGAATACAATATAGCTAGTTAGTATTTAAGGGGTCTCCTGATCCATCATAAGAGACGCTGTAAATGTGGTACCAGAGTTGGCTGCAGAACCTGGCTATAATTGTTACTATAGTAATTGTTACTCCCATGTTACTATGATAGCAGATCGTGCCCGTAAAGTTGCCTATTGGGTTCTGAGCGCTTTTAGATCAAGAAACAAGATCACTGTGCTGACCCTCTACAAGTCATTAGTCAGAAGCCATCTCGACTCTCGAGTACTGTTGTCCCCTCTGGAATTCAACTATGCAAGCTGATATCGCTGAGCTAGAGGGAGTACAACGTACATTTACCTCAAAAATACATGGTGTGCAACATCTGAACTATTGGCAGAGACTGAAGGCCTTAAATTGATGTCACTTCAACGGAGGAGAGAACGTTACACAGCTAAAATCCGCTCCAGCAGCCACGACCTGATGATAGAACGAGGGCGTTACACGAAGGAGGCCGGAGTATGGCCAAGAGCATGCAGATTCTGCTGCGATAGGGATCACGTTCTCGGCTTCGAATACCTTCCCTTCTTTGAAGGCACGATTATTGAAGACGAGGAACACTGCCTTACTGAGTGCCCCATGTACCACTCAGTACGATCTTCTCTCTCAGATGACCTCAAAGGGCTTTTACTTCTCAGGAACTACAAAGACATGATGAATTCAGCCCACATAGAAGAACTGGGCAAGTTTCTCAGCAGCTGTCATCGCATCAGAAATCCGAAAAAGACACCAACATCGTCTTCCACTTGATCTAACACATCCGGTAATGATTCCGAGTCACTGTCTTAAGGACATTCTAACTACCCCAGTGTCCCTTAAATGAGTGTTCGAACTGTTTTCATTCGGAGTTTCAGTTGCATAATTTACGCCCGTCTTTGAGTTTGTGTGTAATCTTTCTTGATAGTGTATTTTTGACTTTTGGAGTAACTTTGTGAATTTTATGAACCTCTCCTGCATAATTTATTACCTTATCGGTGCATTATCCACTTTTATCCGGTTAAATTATTATATTTGATCTTGTTTCTTTCTCGTACAGATTGTAGTGAAGTTAATTTTTTTACGTGTTTTGGGTCTTATTTATGATTTTTTTTATAATTATCTTATTTATTTCATTGATGTATTGTCACGACGGGTCCGTTAGTGTTCCCTCTGACTATTTAAGTTTAATTCCAGTTTAATTCCACTATCATTCATATGTGGAAGATCCTACACAAGAAGTGTCCTAATGATTCCGTTTACAAATACACTCCGATATGGCCAGAAAGCAGTAGTCACTAGCTTGTCAACGTCCAGTTGCCAAAGGAATCAAACGATCTTTGACAGCTCATTTGCAGTGATGGGGCCTCGATTGTGGAACATCATTCCCGCAAACCTGAACCTTATCGAGGACCCCCTGGCCCCTACGCTTCAAGTCATTGTTGACAGAGTTTGTTACATCTATTACGGACGAACCTCCTGTTGCTGGATATTGTTGCCAGAACGGGAATTCGTTATTGAACTGGAGCGCAGAAAATACAGCAACTTCGCTGCACAGGTGGTCTGCCGTTCAGATGACCCGATAGAGGATCTATGAAGCAACCCCAAGTAAGTAAGTAATTATTATAGACAGGTTCTGTTTACACGTGATGCCTATATTTGGTAATATTGAGTAAACCTATTATATGTGTACTCAATATTACCAAATATGGGCATCACGTGTAATACTATACGGGGCGTACCCGTACTGCGTACAATACAGACTGGTTTATGATTTTATGTTGTCGCAAATATAGTTAAGTGGGCAGAATGTTAAGTGGTTTGTGAAATGCGCGTTTATCAGGGATTGTGCCGTGAGTACGTGCAATTGAAGCTAGTAACAACCGACAGAAAGTAAAATAGCACAATACTGTAAACTGGCAGTACAATGGTGTTGGTTTTCTTTATTGACATAAAGTGCAGCCTTGATAAACACGTATAACTACCTGCATACACAATACAAATACTCAAGGCGCGGTGCAGCGTCTCCCTTATTTTTCTGTTATGAGACTTCTTGTGCAAATAAATCCTTGTGTTTGAACGAGGAGCAGCGAAATTATGATTTGACAATGAACATTTTGTGCCTCCTTTTAATACACAAATAATAGTAATAAATCAGGATCATCTGTCATACACCGACGACTTTTTATGAGCTTAATTTTTAGTGGTGGTAGTCAGTAAAAGCAAAACAGCGACAACTTAAATTGAATATTCTAAAATCACACCAAAAATTAAAAACAAAGTTGAGCTGTCAATAAAGTATAAACACTAGTTTTATAGCAAGGGAGTTGGCTTCTAAGTAAATTCCTGGAAGTGGTTATAGGTACTTTATAATTATAATGACTTGATTGACCACTACCCAGACAATTATGCTCTGATCGATAAACTGTCGTCTTTTTATTTCCTGTTTCGCAGAAAGTTGTGATCACTGTTCTAATACGAATAAATTCGTTTGTTTTCGTGGAAAAATCTAAACTAGCGGTGCTGTATCCGGAAACAAATCTTTCAAACAAACCTTTCAGTAGTGATGGTAAGTTGTAGTTTAGTAGTTTTAGGGCATGATTGAAGATTGGAAAACTATAAACTTTTAAGTGGCTCTATTACGACCATGGGACTACTATAAACAACTTGTGGCCCAATTTCGACTTTTCTTAGACAGGGTAGATTGGGAAAACAACTATAAACCTAATCAGTCTACCTAGTAAAGTTTGAAACTACAACTATACCCATAAATCGTCACTAAAAATATAGCGATCACTTGAAAATCAAACAAGTTTTCAAACGCAGCTTTAGATTACTTGCTGCCTATCGACGCCAAATTTATCTTGTTCGTCCAATTAGGCTGATTGGGTGCCTATAGTTTACTGTTTGGGAACTGGGTCCAATAGGATGAAGTCGTGGGTCACCCGACCCTGGTTCATATAAAGGTGATACTTAGCAAATTAGGGGAGTAGTGAGTACTGAGTACAGCTTAATGAGACTCCAAGAAATTAACAACAGCTTTCAATCTTGCTTTATTATAAAGTGGCCATCCGCCATAAACGATTTATTATAGCATGCAGTTTTTACAGAGCGAGATTAATGTAAGATTAACGAAACGATATCTTTAAAGAAATCTGTTCGATTATGGATACATATTTTGTATGGTCTTCAATCTAAATGATCGAGAAATGTTTACTGGGGCTTTTATCCCTTTACCTAAATGTTACTGATGTTAATGTATTAATTCTGGTCATTAACACCTTATCAAATGAAGAAGACGCCCGATACTTGCATTGAAATTTCGGAATTAAGCTATTTTTGGGCCTTACTGTTTCTCCTCGTGATCAATACATGAACCTGAGAGCTTGAGAACTTAGTCACTTAGGATCAATGTGTTCAAACCTTATAGTCATATCAGAAAGCCGTAACTATATGGTTATAATGTTAGTTTGGCTGCAATTCTAGTTCCATCACTGAACAAAGGATGCTGCCAGTATAGACGTGGCGTGTTATCACTGATAGCATCATATTTTATTTTACTACTATAATACAAAAGAAGGTTATGTGCCGCTATATACTGCTTGGTAGGGGAACCATATTTATTCTGA